GCAGTGAGCCAAGATTGTACCAGTGCACTCCAGCCTGGGTGATAGAGCAAGCCTGGGGGGCGGAGTCCTGCTGTGGGCCTGGGTCCTGCTGGGGGTTGGAGTTTGGCTGTGGGGACAGAGCCCTGCTGGGGGCTTGAACCCTGCTTGGGGGCTAAGCCTGCGTGTCCCCCAGGTCCAGAAGGGCTTTCTGACCCTGAGTGTGTGTGGCCAGCCCAGGTCAAGGGGTGGCCTCCTCAGGGCTGTCTCTGGGGACCCCGCTTGTGAGGCTGGAGGGTGGGTGTAAGCCGTGGGGTGGAGCTCCTGACCTCATGGGGTGAGGTGCAGGGCTACAGCCTCACCTGACCTCCTGCAGGGAGGAGTGGACAACCGCCATCCAGACAGTGGCCGATGGCCTCAAGAAGCACGAGGAGGAGATGATGGACTTCCGGTCGGGCTCACCCAGCGACAACTCAGGGGCTGAAGAGATGGAGGTGTCCCTGGCCAAACCCAAGCACCGTGTGGTAAGGCCTGTTCCCCTTTCTGCCTATGCCTGGGGCTACCTTGGGCTGTGGAGAGCTGGGTGGGTCATGGGGTCCCAGCTTGGCCCAGGAGACACTCAGCACTCCACGGCATCCCCATCTAGGCCGGTTTTCCATGTGGGGCGCAGCTGCTTCCCAGGTGGGTTCTCTTCCCTATGTCAGAGAAATAGTGGGGCTGCTGAGCCCTGCCAGGCTTGGGCAGTGTTACCCCACCCTTCCCCGAACCCCACGCTCTGAGCTAGGGCTGCACCGTGTGTTCCCTGTAAGTCCGGACTCCCCGCTGAGCCCCGCAGGCAACCAGGTGTGAAGCGGTCGCCTCTCCTGGCTCCGCCTCCAAGTCTGCTGAGGGTGACTCTGGGGCCCCCATGCCACCTGACACATGCCGACCAGCTGGGCACTGTGGGCAGCGCCCCCCGCTGACCCTGGTACCTGCCCACAGACCATGAACGAGTTTGAGTACCTGAAGCTGCTGGGCAAGGGCACTTTCGGGAAGGTGATCCTGGTGAAGGAGAAGGCAACGGGCCGCTACTACGCCATGAAGATCCTGAAGAAGGAGGTCATCGTGGCCAAGGTGGGGCCGGGGTGGTGGGGCAGGGTGGAGACGAGGATGCTGGGCGGCAGCTCACCCAGCCCTGCCTTACAGGACGAGGTGGCCCACACACTCACCGAGAACCGTGTTCTGCAGAACTCCAGGCACCCCTTCCTCACGGTGAGTGGGAGCCCAGATGGGGCTGAAGGGTTGGGGTCGGGTGGCGACTCCTGGGGCTGTCTCTAGGGAACGATGTCCTGTCTTCTTGGGCACGTGAGGACTTTACGCACCGCGGATTCTGCCACTGGTGACAGGCCTGCCCTGGAGGGTCAGGCTGTGGAGGTGCCCGATGTGGGCTGGGGGCTGTGCTCGCCGCTCCTGTGTGTGGGCAGGTGGGGCAGGTGGCCCTGGTCGTCTTTGCACTCTGCCGAGGCTCCAGGAGGCCCCAGCTTCCCATGCCCTGCAGCCCTGCCTGCCAGGCTTCTGTTGAGGCCCGGGCTCTGCCCTGGGGAGCCCGTTCTGGGGACTCGACCCAGGAGGTATTTACTGTGAAGGGGGCCAGACTCCAGCCACGTGGTTAGTTCCAGGTCACTGTGTTTGGGGATGATTCTCCTGCAGAAGGGGCCTTAGCTTTAAAAGCACAGCCGCCTGTGGTGGAAGGCAGGAGGGTGGCTCTGCCTGGGAGGGTGCATCCTCCCTTGCCAGGGCTCTGGTGCTGGGAGCACTGCCCCCTGTTGAGGTCCCAACCCGCCCTGGAGACCTGAGCCCAGGCCACTTTGCTCACCTTTCAAACACTCCTTGGCGCCTCAGGGGCTGCCAGGACCCAGCCCGATGGTGGCATGGTGTGGGGGAGTGTGGCATGAGGCAGTGTGATGTGGGGGTGTGTGGTGTGGGACAATGTGGTGTGAGGCAGTGTGATGTGGGGGTGTGTGGTGTGGGACAATGTGGTGTGAGGCAGTGTGATGTGGGGGTGTGGTGCGGGGCAGCGTGGTGTGGGGCA